TACAAAGCACACCTTTTTTAGCCAACAGAGTTGTTTCTAGTTTTGTGGTGTGGTGGCAAAAATTTCCAGATGAGACTAAATATTCAGCTTAAGGGGTCCTGTTGTACGTGCTTACTCAGCTTAAATCTATAATGCCTCTGAATACATTTATACACAAAGTAAAAAATGTGGAGATAAATGAATGTGGGTAAATGGGGTATAGCTTCCATGTCCTTGTGCAGCTGTATCTGACCTGTACTCAGTCCACTAGTGACAAAATCCCTACAACACATCTTAAATTCTCTTTGGGTTGTACCAAGAGTGTATCCCTGGTTTTAGAGTGAACCAATCCAACTTGATAAAATACCTTAAGTCATTTTCTCAGACTGAATTTGAAAGTCTGATGTAGTTCCCAAAAGCACATATGGTAATGCTGACCTAGAAAACTGCTACGAGTACCGTCAGAACTGTGACCAAAGAGCAGAGATACCCCATTTGTAATATAAATCCTTTGTATTTATTTGCAAGAGGAAAATTCTGAGAAAGAGGAATATTGACTTATATGAGATTTAGTACAAATAACATACTAATTCCTAGACAAATTTTAAGCCAAATCTTTTGATTTTGTTAAAGGTGCACTAGGTAACTCTTCTGGTGTGGTGTGCACAGGGCAGTAGACAAGAGGGGGTCTGTTGTCCTGGGCCCCAGGGTTTAGTGGACCAAAATTGGACCGGCTACTACCACTTAGTGCCTGCGTTCAATTTCATTTCTCTCCAGCGACTAGGACAGGAATCGGAATACACTAGACAGTTTGCAAGAACAAGAACCAAATAGCAGTGATTGGTTAAATAAAAAAAAGTACCCACCTTACGTTGAGTGAGCGAATCTTAATTCTGCGAGGTCAGGCGGTTTCCACAAAGTGAAACCGGCTGATGAATCAAGCTGGGAGTATGCCACCTGGATGTAAGAATAATAGTGCCTTACTCTTGTAATGCACTTTACAGTCTCGACAAAACCTCCCAAAGTGATACACTGCAGTCATTCATCGGCTCGGTGGACAGAAACAAGGCTGCCAGTCTCCACCATCAGCCCATCCGACCACCACCAATCCTCCATGCACACACCAGTGAAGTGTCTTGCCTAAGGACACAATGACAGAACTTAGTCAGAACGGGAATCTATCCTCCAGTCTTTGAGTTGGAGGACCACAGTCTACACAGAAAGGTTATTATTTTGTATAATGTTCCAGACTATGGCGTTGTAGAATACCAGTCCAAATCCCCAGACAAGTGCCACACATAACTATATCCACAGTAAATAAACTGCTGTGCTGTGATCATGAGAGCACAATAAACACCTGAACCTCTCCTGTTCTAACCCCGTGGAAGAGACTATGAGCTCCTATGATTTGGAAGTTTGAGCAATGTGACAATTAAAAATGCAAGACGGGGGGTATTTTAGGAGTGGCTTTGTGTATTTTTAGACTCCAACAGGGCTACTTCAATATTTATGTTGGGAAAAGTTAGATGCCTGAAGTCCTCATGAGATGATCTGATGTGGGTGAAATATTGCTTTAGTTGGAGAGAAATGTTTTTGCAAAGTGTGAAGTAGGCATGCATAATTTTTACAAAAATAAAAAAAGCTTATTACATTTTTTATTACACTGACTACAATATTCAGACAGTATTATCTTAGAAACATGCTAAAACATACATGGAAATGTCATAGCCAAGGTACAAGTGTTACACAAAAAGTGAAGTGACTACAAAATTAAGTTAATAAGTATTGCTTTATAACACAAGATAACACTGCTTTTTTTTGTTGGAAATATTATTGTTTACAATTTCATGTATCTCCAAACTCTAATTAACCAGCAGCCTCTGTATAAAACCTTAAATAATAATAAGAGATGTCACTGAATAATTCCACTGGATCAGACTTGCCAATCATAGAATTGAATTTAGAATGATCATCATTTGCATCTCTATGTTGTTTTGACCAACTGTCAGTGAGTTTCTTATTCATCCAATATTTGACTCTCTGTTTAGAATTTACCTTTTTTTTTTTCTTTTTCTTTTTTGCTTATTTTTTTCATTTTGTTGGTGTTAAAAAACTATTGTTCTAACCCAGTATTTTTCAACCTTTTCTGAGTCATGACACTAAAAAGATTCTTCTGCCACCCACGAAAAACATTATCAAATTATACCAAATATTTTCCTTGCCCCTGGGACTTTTTGCTACTTTCTATTTGGCAATGATTGTTTTGCTTTCTCAGCGAGTTCAGAGGGCGCTCGAGACATTCCAAAATAGTAAATGATTTAAGAAATTGTGAATTAACTTTTAAAAGTTTGGCTTTTTTCAGAGGCACATCTGGCATTACCTCAAGGCTTTTTCCCCTGCACACTGGTTGAAAATCTAAGTTAACTACCAAAGCTGTTGAAATAGTAGTATTGTTCATTCTAGCTCATTCTATAAACATTTGGTCCATACAGACTACTTTGAATATAGCTGGAATATTTATATCTTTAAAGAACCTATATTACGCTGCTTTCTGATCTATGTTATCATTTTTATTCCCCATCATAAAACATACAAACGTTTTGTTGTTTTGTTTCATTCACACATGTTTAACACACAAAAATGAGTTCTTCTCTCTTAAACAGAAAACACTTAGTTCCGCATAATGATGTCATGTGGTAATACAGGAAATGCTCCACTGTGTTTTTAAGCTTCATATGCCTTCATTAGAATTATTTGGATAATTTCAGTGCCAGAAGTAAAAGCTAAAAGGAGCTGTTAACTTGAAAACTACTCCTTCATAAGGGTTACTCAAACGTGTGTAACTCCAGACATGTTTTTGATGAGGTAACAACATTTTAGCATGGCTTAAAGGGGCACTGTATAACTTTTGTGGTGGAGGGTCCATCACCTGCTTGTCTTCATGAGAATTGTTATTGCTTTGTCTTGAATGCTCCACAGTATGGTGCTAAACTATTCATCTTGCATTTATTCTAATTACACGTGTGTTTTTAACTTAAAACATGCATTCTTACTGTGAGTGGGCTTGCCTCTCCATAGATCTGACTCTGTGTTTCTGTAGTGTCACTTGTTTGTACTTAGTAAGACAGATAAATAATGAGAGTTATAATAGACAGTAAATTATCATGGAAAGCCCACATTAGACAGATAAAAACAAACATTTCCAAAAGTCTTGCTATAGTAAACAAAGTAAAATATTACCTTGATCAAAATGCCCTTTGTACATTCTACTGCTCATTTGGTCTTTATTTCACAAGTGTGGCGGAACAGTTACCAATGTACAGTTAATCCATTAATTACATTAGAGAAATGAGCTTTGCGAATTATCCATTAAGTTGGATTTTTAGAACACACCCATAATCTTTTTGCTCCAAGCTCCTAAATTTTCCTGACCTTATAAAATATTATACACTGGTAATAATATCTAGAACATTCAACAATTTACTACCAAGTAATCTACAAAGCCTGTTCAAAATGAGAGAGAGAGAACTAATAATTTAAGAAGGTATGGAAATTTCAAATTGCCCAATGTTCGAACTACTCATAAAAAGTTTCTGTGTCTATATGTGGTGTAAAAACTCTGGAACAGTCTGGATCCACATCTCAAGCACTGCCAAAATATCCATAAATTCAAGCTGTTATATAAATATGGTCTATAGAGAGTGAGTCTTAAAGGGACAGTCTGGAATTTTGGATGTAGGACTTCATTTCCTAGTGAGCCAGAGTGTTGGAGACGTGTGGAGACACTTTTTAAAAATATTCCATCCAGTCCTTGTATTTGCAGAGGTCGCTGGTGCTAGGCTAGTGCATGTCAATGGCCATAGTTAGCCTGCCACTAAAAACAGTCTTACCCACTCCACAAAGCACCTGAAGCAAATCTGTTATTACGCCAGACTGTCAAAGTAAAGTTCTGTGTTGATAGAATAGTGTTTGAAATAAAACTAACCTTGCATCACATGAAGCGTTGCATGTTGAGGGACAATTTTCTCATATATCAGTCCGCGGCTGCCAAGCTTTCTATCAAGAAGTACAACTTGCTGTTGCTGCTCAGACATAAATCCTTTAAACACAGGGTTGGTTTTACTTCTAAAATTATTCTATTGACACAAACATTAACATTGACAGTCTAGTGTAATATTAGAATTGCTTCGGGTGCTTTGTGGAGTGGGTAAGATTGTTTTTAGTGGCAGGCTAACTATGGCCATTGACATGTGCTAGCCTAGCACCAGCGACCTCTGCAAATAGGATGGGATTAACGTTCTCAAATTTTACAGGTGGGTATGCAGGCGGGTAGTGATTACACACGGGCAGGTCAGGTCAATCAAATATATATTATACATATATATATAAGAGTACCATGTACAAATAGTTCTAATCACAGTGTGTTCAGAAGGCCTACAGGGGTCTACATTCTTTATATTTAACTAAAGCCTACATCACTTAACAGCGACCATGGCAATATTCTCCAGCAGCATTCATGGTTTGAGGAGCATCGGCATGACGGAAGAGATAAAAGTTAAGTTGATGAGCGGTGCTTTTAAAATAGTTCACAATAACTCTTCAAGGGCAACATTTGTGTGTGATTTATCATGGGCACGGACGGGTAATGGGTAGAATGTTAATGGGTCCAGGCGGGTGCGGATTTAACTTATAATCAAGGGTTAACAGGCGGGTGTGGTGCTGTACTGCACGAATGAGAGCGGGTACAGGTCTCCAAAAATGTACCCGTGCAGGACTCTGACTCAGGTATGTTTTATTGTCAACTGTGAAGTTAAGTTAAACAAAAATGTCAAAATATTTTACAAAACTACATAAACGCTTTTACCAAACCTTCATGATAAAACACAAGCTTTTCTAAATATGTCTTACTTCTTCCTACTCCATTTTGAGTGTCTCTTGTTTCTGTTTTTGCTAATAACATATCTTGAAATAAAGATGAAAAACATAACCTCTTTTGAACTCTTTTAAATGAGTGACTCGACCAGCTGATAGATCTCGTCTCCCACTTCGTCGGCTGCCTCCAAAAGCTCTTCCCACTTCTTATCAGAGCTCTGGTCAGTTCTGGTCCAAGTGTCTCTTTCCAAAGCCAACTTCAGTCTCTGCACAGCATCTAACAACAGCTCTTCTGGACTTGAACTACATGACCCACAATCCTCTGCTTCTACTTCTTCTTCCTGCAGCTCTGATTGTTCTGGCTGTACAGGAGGTGGACTGGAGCATTGTTCTGGCCCCTCCTCTTCGACGTACAGACTGTGTGACAGTGGCGATCCACAGAGCACAGTTGGGGGCGGAGTCACATCATCTTCGTCACCTTCTAGAAGTTTAAGCTCCTCCTCTTCCTCTGTTTCCTCATTTTCTTCTTCTTCTTCTTCGTCATCTTCTGCTTCGTCCTCTGTTGTTTCAGTATTGCGATGACTTTCGATTTTCTCCAAGGCCTGCGTTACAAAGGTTTCCAACATGGAGTGATGCCGTTTGAGCGTTTCCACGGTAACCTCCACCTGAGAATACTTGTCTTCCAAAACGCTGTGCTCTGATTGGACGGTTTGCCTCAGCGCCTCAAGTTGTTCCTCTAATACGCATTTGTCTTGTTGCAAAGTTCGCAGTTCCTCCTTCAGAGCGTCTCTTTCTGATTGGTCAATGTCCCAGTCTGTTTGCTGGGCGGAGTCTGATCGCTCCGGAGTTGGTGATTGGTCGGTTGGCTGGGATGGTGACACTGGTGCATCATGGGATAAATCTAAGCTGTCTTCTCTTGGCGGTTGAGGGTTTTGCGGAGCACCCATTGACACTTGTCTCTGCCTCCCGCTTTGCTTCAGTCTCAGGGCGTGGCGTGCATTCTGGACCAATGACGATACAGATTCTTTAAAAGTGGGCGGCATACAGAACTCAATCATTGGATGGTGCTGTTTGTGCTTCCTGGTCCGACGGTTTGTGAAAAAACACGTCTGACAAAGATGGACGTTAACACACTTCTCACAGCGGAACCTCAGGCCAGTGAAGGGGCGGGACTTGCAGCAGTGGCATCGCACGTTATGAGAGATATTTTGACTGACGCTTAGCCGGTACATCGTGGGTAACCATAGCAACAGACGAGGTTCACTGTGAAGCCACGAGATGACGTGATCGCGAGAAACAGACGGTGACAGAACGCTTTTAAAACAGGACTTGACTGCCACCTCAACAGAACCAAACACAGCGTCTTCTTGTACTAGCTTGGGTATCACACTGAGGTTGTGGAGCAAGGTCCGAAGAGAAGATCGATTGACTGAACCAGGAATAGGAGATGTACCAGAGGCCGCTAGCGAGACCAACGCCAAATACTTCTCTTTGAGCGAATCAGCACATAATGCGACCAAAAACGTCTGCAAAGAATCCACGTCCACACTTCCTCCTTTGTCGAAAAGCGTAAAAATGGCACTACTCGTCTCCTCTGGCGCTTCTAGAGTCACGTGACCAGGTATTTCCTGGGACACGCTGACGAACATCCTGTTTAAGAGCTGAACCACTTCTGGTCTGCTGACGTCGCTAACTCCGCCCACCGAGCGCAGGGCCGTGGTCACGTGACGCACCAACACCACATGGAGGTGCGTGAGCCTCTGGATAGACTGCAGTTTGAGAGAGGATCTGTAGACTGAGGCGTGGACTTCGTTTAGAGCTTCAATGCTGTCTAGATCCATCATCAAAAGTATGAGGTAATCCTGAACGTTAAAAATGAAGGATAATCGATAAAATGTCAGAGAAGTTCCTTGTGCGTGTAGTCCACAGAGCAGGCTGTACCATAATGGGACAATAGTGGAGCATGGTGAGCTGACCTGCTGTCGATAAATTATGAATGAGCTGTTGTTGCCACTTCTCGCCTGTCACCTGTTCAACCTGCTGTTCTTTGGCCAATCACAGACCTTCAGATGATCATGTGATATACTCGAAAGGGAGGGGATTGTACTATTACTCTGGAGAATTTAGAGTGGCAATTTTTAACCATAAGTATACTAATTTGTGGTTAAATGATAAATGAATCTTTTCTGTATGGCATTAAACTAAATTGTCAAATCTTTAAAATATACTTAATACACAAAACTGACTTTTGTGGGCTTCAAAAACATACCTACAGTAATCTTAACAGAATGTTGCCCTTACTGAAAAATGTAAAAGTGACCAAGGTACAAACCCGAGGCACTAAGGCTGAATATATTAAATGCCAACGCATTTCGACCAGCAAGAAGGTCTTCATCAGGGCATAATCAATCAATTACATTTTTCAGTAAGGGCAACATTCTGTGAAGATTACAAGTTTAACCCTCATAGAGCATCTGTACTGCTTTTCTTTTACTTTTTTGTGACCAGTGAAGAGCTCTACCTCTTTTCTTCATCTGATACCTAGAGTAATGTTTTGTTTCATTCACACATATTTGAGTAACCCTTTATTGTTNGTTTGGGTTTAGTAAACCGCTCATTGATTACATTTTAAACAGCACATAATAAGCCCTGATTTTACTATCGCATTTTTAAAATTACATTTGTGTGTTTACAATACAAAAACCCAAACAGCAGAACCACACAATTTCACAAGAGGAAGTAGGGAGCTCTGTTTGTGTAAGTGGATTTATTAATTTATCAGAAAAAGAGTTAAAACCATATACATAGAATAGAACACACTGTAATTTGAATACAATTAAAATCATATTCAGTATACATCATAAAACAAAGTGTAAATATCATTTCATTTTTGCCCAAGCTAGATACCTCACAAGAGAGAAATGTGACCTCCTTTTAAAAGATGAGCATCTTGAGCTTAAGGCTGGACTGAAAAAGAGCATGAAGGTGTCAGAATCCTTAAGATAAAGTGTTGTTGGATGATTCTTCAGCAGAAGAATCTGTTAGCTGAGCGGCTGACAGGAGGCAAGGTCACTTTGTGAAAGCTCAAACTTTTGTATTCAAACCACACGAAACTTGCAAAAGCAGAGATTGACGGAGAATGTTCCTGGAGAGTGCCATTCATCAAAACCACAAACTTCTTTGTTGAAATGTTGTTCAGTCTGCACTTGGTGAACCCCCTACAACATGCTGCTAACTGAACTATATAATCTTTACTCAATATACTTTTAATGTATAATATAATCTCTTTTATAATGAAATACAGCCTACTGGAACTTTAGGAGGAAATGGATCTAGAAGAAATTTGAGCCTTGTTGGTGATGACATGATGACTGATTCAGGGTTCCCAGGCTTTGGCAACCCAACCTGCACAAGAGCATCTGAAAAACAAGACTTCTTTAATTTGATTTAATTTTATTATCAGTATGATGAATGCTTAACTTTCATAACATGTTAGTTTGCTGTGTGAGATGCTTGTGTGCTGTCTGGATACTCTCCCACAGCAGAGCACAGCCCCCCGCCCGCTCCCTGTATTGGCTCAGCACTGCTCTAAAGTTTGGTTTGATCTGGATCTGTACAAAAGCTGCTCATTCACATGAGGCCATTTACAGTGATGTCCTAAAGTGTGTTTTCTTACCCTGTGTGAGGTCCTAATGCTGCGATGTTGGATTTCCTCACCCGTGTCCTTTCTGTAATCAGCTCCATTTAATTTTGTGACCAAATTATTCCCATTGTGCCGCTTTGGTTAGTTTATAAAGTTGCCTGGTAATGAGGCAAAGATTGCAGACATTACCCACGCTGGCAGTGCTCTTAAATGCTACATTGGTCGCAGAATTGGTTGAGATGTCATCACCATATTTTTACCTGTACCACTCCAACCTCCAGCAGCGAAGTACAGCTCAACCTGGACACACCCCTCCTTAACTTTAGCGCTAGTCCTAAGATCAGGGGCAAGATCAGGCCCAAGGGCGTTTTCATAATAAATTGGTAGGCTATAGCTGAAATGCTAGTACAACTTGATATACCTGGGCAGTTTGTCTATTGTTCTAGCAAGTACAAACCCATGCAATTTCTATGCTAGCATCTTTTAAAGGTGCACTGTGTAATGGCCCTGTCTCACCTTGACGATTTAGCCAGCGTATGACGATGTACCAGACTTTCCCTAAAACACTGGCATACGCTGAACTATCAGTGTTTTTTTTTTTCAATTTTGGGGGTATACATAGCGTATTCATAACGAGTTGGACATATAGTGTATTCGTAACTTATATAGAACATTTTGATAACTTATATGCTTAGCGTGTTGCCAGGATCCACAACTTATGCCCAACTTATGCATAGCACACGCAAGGCTCAAGTGCCATCGCCTATAAAAGAAAGGCTGCAGCTAGACAATTCATAACTGCACTAGACATCGCAGTAGCAACAATGTGATCTCTTCTTCTCCTGGCTCTATAGGCATGTAAGTGGTACAGTGACAAATCGAGGAGATTCCCCATTTTTATTTACCAATTTCCCTACACGCTGCCAATACACAATTATACGGTAGCTATAAGTTAGAAACATGTTCTGTAAGTTCTGTGGTCGTCAGAACACGTCAAATACATCTGCATGCGTCAATATGTGTTGGAGGTAAGTTCGATACAGTTAAACACAGGTTCAAAGCAAGTTACTCATAAGTTATGGACACGCGAGACAATATCTCAACACATTTGGATTTATAATGTATGTGAACGTGTGTCAACAATCACATAATTTACCTACAACTTATGGCCCACGTATGCAGGAGTTATAAACATACGCTGACATACGTTGAGAAATTTTCAACATATGCAAAATTTTTCGACGACCTTGCCGTATGTCGATGTATGCCAAGGTGCTTCAGCGTGCTCATAACTTATACAAAATTTACCTATAACTTATTTGACGTACGCCAGTGTATTTGTCAAATTTTTCATACATCGGCATACACTGGCCAAAGCATCAAGGTGTAACAGCCCCATATCTTGTTTCCGTCATCTGCTTGTCTCCGTTGAGATGTGCCTAGAATGTTCCACAGTATGGCCATAAACTTAAGAATTGCAAGCCAAATTACAGGTTAGATCTGTGGAGAGCTGACCCCACTAACAGCAAGGATGGATGTTTTTTAGGATATTTTTGAGCAATAAATAATACCTGTACTAGAATAATGCAATACAGATTAGTTTAATACAATTCTGTGGACAATTTAAACCAAAGCATCACATCAGGTTGGCATCCCTCTCCAGAAAAGTTACACAGTGCACCTTTAATGCTGTCTCTTTTCACATTTTCAAACATGCTCAACCATTTACCAACGGTATTAAACCAAATCATATTTCTAGTGAAGCTCTCCCACCAAAATATAGCCTATTGGAAAAAATATCGCTTCGTGCATGTAATTTGGCTTTCAGGAGGAGCCTTCAGCCTTGAAAATTGTGATTCCCAGCTCCATTGGATCTGCGCTCGTATACAGGCGGTAGATGTGTAGCAAGCTTTGCCAAGTCGGTGCATTTCTTTGGCCTTATCTCACATTCATTCACCATGCATCATCCGAGCTCCCAACGCCACTGTAAGCTATGATTCAGCGCACTATTCTTATCATGCGCTGACCTCCTCGCTCGCTTCTCCAATAAGCATAACCGTATCTGACAAGGCTGCAGCTATTGAAGGAGCGTGGATGCTAGTAGGCCCCCTCCAGATAGCTCCCCGTCCTTCTGTTCTCTTGGCCAATTTCCACCAGTGCTGAAGCCTCCTTTTGCATTTCGCGCCTTGGAGCTTATTTGGTTTGCTTTTCCCCTTTTTTTATCCTCGTCCTGGAGCGTTCCCCATCAACAGGCAGATGAGTAAACACTGTAGTCTTTGAGTTGCTTCAAGAAGTGTTGCCAGATCTGTCATTTTGAGACTTTGAGTTTTGATATTGGCCAATTGCATTTCTTTTATGAGTTAACTAGGATTAGGAGGTCCCAAATTATTGCACTAAATTGACTGTTGTGTTTGTTAAGCCATGTTGTAATGCTGTTACCTCATCAAAAACATACCCGGAGTTGTGTTTTGTTTCATTCACACATGTTTGAGTAATCCTTTATTTATTAGTCTGTCTGCATCTCCAAAGCTCAAAATGCTCTGTTCCACCCTGTGATGTCATGTAGTGATAGTTTTCAAGTTTGCAGCTTCCTTTTAGCTTTAGTTTAAAAGAGATAGGCAGTTCCAGGGTAGAAATTACCATATTGTCCAGACTATAACGCGCACTGGATTATAAGGCAATAACAATAAAGATAAAGATTCTCTCGTCTATTTTCATACATAAAGTGCACCGGATTATAAGGCACATTAATCGAAACAAAACAGTCAGATAAGTCAAACTTTATTCAACTCATTCACAATAACTCTCAACATTGTTCAGATCTAACACATACACTCACTTTTTCAGTTCATTCCTTCCACAAATCCATCAAATTCTTCATCTTCAGTGTCTGAGTTTAACAGTTGGGCAACTTCGGCATCAAGCCCGGATCCCTCTCGTCATTATCCGAGTCACTCTTATTGCTGTTACTTAGCTGTTCAATGATGATGATTCCTTTGTGAAAGCTTGGACGACACTTGAGACTGATCCCTTAGCCCAAGCTTCCGTCATCCATTGGCAGATTGTGACGTAACTCATCTGGCGTTGCCTCCCTGTCTTGGTGAATGTGTATTACTCCACAAGGCTTCTGACTACAGTAGCCGTAATGCTCCGACAATCCATCAAGCAGTGTGGCTTTGTAGTTTACCAAAGTCGTAT